TTAGGTTAAATAAGTCCTCTAAGCTACTATACTATTGCTCTTTCTTATATGTTTTTCGGACATTCATTGCTTCCTTCGAGTAATCTGTTCGTCGCGGGTCTGGTTGTGGTTCTAGGTATATGTTTTTAGGTCGTCGTTTATTCTATGTTTCCTAATCTAGTTGAAAAGGTGGTGGACCTCTATTACTATGATCTTGGCTTAGTGGAAGTTTTATGTAATACTCCGCTCCTGGTGTGACTTCTCTAGGTCCTAGTAACAACAGATATCGGAGGTTTCCTTACGCATATTCCTGGTGCTAGGCGTCTTAAGTAGAAAATGGGTTATCTATTCGAGTCGGTCGGACATAAATTGATATAGTGTCCTCTTATTCTATTTCCTATTATAGTTATCGTATTTCGTCATTTTCCGCTGATTATTGTATTTCGTCCTTAATCCTTTTAAGTTCTGTATTAACTTGATTTAGGTTATTTAGAATAACTTCAGCAAGAGATTGTTTAATCTCATCCATCGTCTAGTTATATATTTCACGTGTTTACGCGAGGTCGAAGAGTACTTGGCTTAGCTCGTCTAGGAGCAATGGCTTAATATATACTCCTCCTTGCATAAGGTATTATCGAATATGTGCTTTTAGTTATATAGGAACTTTTTCCTATGTCTCTATAGGAAAGAATTTGAAGTCAGCGATGAAGTAGTACCATAGTCTTCGTCTGAAAAGTTTCTGTCGTGTATAGAGGAATATTGTAGTCTCGATATACTCAGCAACTTTAAGGAGTAAGATATTATTAGGATCTTCGTTCATTCTTTGGTCGAATTGTGCGACTCTCTCCTTCCATTCTTCCTCCATAGGTCTGAATAGTTCCTTAATCTCATCAAGAGGTGTAAGGCGTATAGGAGGTGTTAGGGAGACAGGGTATTGGCCGGGTGTTAGATGTTGTCGTATAGGAGTTCTTGGGTTTAGGTGTTCTGTGTCGCGTTCTGAGTCGGGGGGCCTTCCTGGAGTAGCCATGGTGGAGGTTTCAAAAAGGGATGATAGAGGTGGTGGTCTTTGATCAAAGAAAAGGATGGGTTCTCAGTTCCCTGATCTGTAAACAAAATTGGGAGTGAGAAAAGGTTCTCTAAGAGTAAGAACTGATCAGTGTCGCTCGCTTGGCGATATTCGAATATCTTGACTAAGAACGGTGAGCTCCAACGAACCACTACTTAACACCATAGATAAACCACTAAGTATAGTGGTCTCTATAGTACTGAATATTGTGGTTGTTGTGAAGTCTGCTTTTTCATTGATGAAAGAACTAGCTACTTATAGTATATGGGTGCCCCTCTGCTCTGGACAAATATCAATATTCGTCCGAGACAGAAGAGATGGTGAAGACAGGACATTACTATCGCGAATACACATCGCTCAAGGGTGTCGTTTACGATGAATGCATATTGTTCAAGGATGCCGTGATATACTAATCCAGTTCCGGAGTCGCTGTCTCGGCAGAAGCTTTTTCGGCCGAAATACTTTCCGTCTGTTGATGGCCTTGTTTCTCGGCCGTCGCAACACCTAGGCTTATATATAATCCACAACCAACCTAAACCGAAAATTCTTCGCACGCCCGCCGCGTGAACTCCAGGAGTTGTTCGGATTACTAGAGGACTCGATACTTAGGGTGATTAGACCATTATATAGGATCCCTGAAGCTAGAAATCATTAGTTTAAAATATACTATTCGCACTATATCGAGAAACTAGGAATAATAACATCGATATATAACCCCTGCTTATTATACTAGAGTAATATAAGGGAATTTGGAATCATTAGACTATAGACGGATAATACACTTTTCCTAGCCGACCTAGCCTTCGCAACCAATAAACAGAAGCAACTAGATAAAGCGAAGTTCTTAGTAAAAGACCATAAGACACTCGACCATAGAACGCCCTTAAAGTTTAATGGAGGAATGATTTCTTTAAACCTAGAAGGAATCACGCTATCCCAAAAATAGTAATATAAAAAGTTGTCTATAATTAGAAAAACCTAGCACGAACCGGCTAAAATCAAGGAGTAGTATATTACCCAACGCGCGAGAGGTGCCTACATCGCGACCATCTCACAGCTAGAAGCCGCGTTTAACCTAAGTCATATAGCCTAAATCATCAACCCAACAGCTGATAATATAAATAACCTAGATAAGCGGTTATTATAGCAGATTCAAAATATAGCGAGAGGATTATTATTTATACTATTATAACACGAATTACTCTAAATATTAGTATTCGTGGATATATTATTCGTAAATAATCCGGACCTTATATCGCAAATTAGCTTCGTTATTATCCTTGCAACCCTAGAAGCCGAGGGCAAAAACGCTAATATCCTATACTAGGCATCCGTTAAGTATAAAAGGGTTACCCGGAGCATGCTCGCGTTAGAACTATATATAATAGCCAATAGTTTTAATACTACTATCGCCATCAAAACAAGCCTAGACCAGATACTGAATACCACCCTCCGACTTACCATTTATATAGATTCGAAATCCCTATATAACTATCTCGTGAAACTAGGCTCTATAATAGAAAAACGACTTATGATTGATGTGATAGCACTCTATAAGGCATATAAGTAAAGATAAATAGAGATCCTTTAGATCGAAGGCGACTCTAACCCGGCTAATATAATAACTAAGTTAAAGCCCTATGACGTACTAATAAAGTTGATAGACTCTAATAGAATTAACTTAAAAACCGTCGAATAGGTTAAAAGAGAGGAAAATCTCTCTATATAACCCACTATATATCGGGCATTACCCAGCGATGATAAACGGCCCTAAAAATATCATCGCTAACCATTTTCTTTTAACCACTCTTCGGTATCTAATATACTTCTTTCATACACCTATTCAATAACAATTTGGCGACGGAAACACTAGGCCATTTTTCCTTTCAGAAAACCAGATCACATAATACCATTAAAGGAAAAATCCCTGATTTCCCCCGTATTAGACACGGAAATCGCCCTTTTCCCTAGAAATAAAAGAAGAGAAAAGCCCCCTTCTCCTTCTCCGCTTGTCTACCACCTGAATACTCCTCCACCCATTATCTGAAGACCCTAACTGCCGAAAACCTTCCTTTTCCTATAAGAACGCCACCCCTAGAAGCCACTATAAACCACCTAATCGATGGCCGGAAGAGTGACGAAAGCAAAAGGAAAGGGAGCAAGAGGACCTAAAAGAGCGAAAGCTATAGGTCTAGTAGCAGGTCTAGCGGCAGGTCCAGCTCCAGCAGCAGACCCAGCCCTAGCCCTAGAAGCACCAGCAGTGCTAGCGGAACCCGCCATAGTATTATCGCCAATAACCCTATAGGCGATACTAGAACAGCTAAAGTTCATGACGTATATTAGATGCATTAGACACGAAAACATAAACTAGGAAGGAGAAACATTTCCCATATTCAACTACCTTTTCGATACCATAGCCAGCAAGAAATATAACCAATATAGAGGGGCTAGCAAAGCCATATATCACCCACCACTGTTCGGAATCTAATATAATAGCTGGATATTCTATATACTTATGGACTACGCCAGAAATATAGACCCTACCGCAATATATGCGAGTCAAGGACTATCGGCACCATTTAGCACACCGGGAGCAACTAACGCAGCGTTTACCTAGGTAGAAACCGCACCCGAAACAGCCTAGGCGGTAGCTAGCAACCTGATGATGGCATTCTAACAGCTAATCATAATCTACTCGACAGAATCAGGGATCGAAATAGACAAGAAATATGACCTAAAGCTTATCAGGGAATATATAGCTGTCCAGCGGGAAAAGCATAACGCCTAAATCAGACTCCTACCACATCCGATTCGCTTCCCGAACACCTTATATAGACTAGAATCCTTAGAAGGAGGGTATACTATATGGCAGTCCGCCATATTATCCTTTTTCTAGGAATTAGCAACGGCTCAACCTACGAACGCCGCCGTTATCATGAATAAGGCAACAGAATACCATTTACCATTCTGATCTTAGGGGATCAGCAAAATGCCGCTAGAGAGGACCATGGATAGAAGACGAAATAGAGACTAGCTTCTCTAGGAAAAGCCCACTTTCGTGTTATCCACTTTTTATTATTTTTTTCTTCCCACTCACCACTTTCTTTACCCCACATAAAGGCTGATTCTTTAACAAAAATCGGCCACCCAACAGATACAATATATAGGGCACTCGGGGGCATATCGTGCACCTATCCATATTCATTTATTTTATCGATCCATATATATAGCGACTCAAGATTTTAAAGTTGCTCTAGTATCGGAACATGGATATTACAATCATGCAATACCATAAACCCGGAACGGAACAAACAGACCCCCGAGTCACGGGGGAACAACTATATTAGGAACTCAAGTAGCTACATGAATCGAACACATTTCACACCACTTTGCACAACGTATATACTAAGAATCTAGGACGAACCATACCCTTTTCTAGTATATATAGTGCAACGTGTGAACCCTGTCCTTTCAACGTAGTTGATCGACAAACCCACACCCAGCCCAAAAACCCATCTTTTTGCCAAGACTTTTATTTCACGTGATATTTGTCACCTAGTTAGTACTAGATTGAGGCAAATATTAGGCACTAAGGCACTAATTGCCCTAATTTAGTTTAGGTTGAGGCGAAAATCAGGCATTAAGGCATCAAAAATACCCATATGGGACCCATACCCAACCCATACCCACGTGGGTTGGGTTGGGTATGGGTATGGGTTTACCTTACCCCTGATGGGTTGGGTATGGGTATGAATTTTGACCCATACCCAACCCATGCACATGTCTAAGACCAAGAAGGTTTCCTGATCCTCCTTCATGGCTTAGGGCTCCTAACTATGCCTCCAATAGCCCTCTACAAAGGTATAATTATACCTAGATACAACTCTGGAGGCTTTCACCTCAGAACGCCGGTAAAAACATGCATCGTCCACCCCCAAACGCCAGTCCCACTCATTTATTGAATCATTGAATCATCAGAATCCAGCATAGGTGTAACCAAGTCAGGCCTTCCTGCCAAATAGGCCAATCTATTGAGCGTATTCTGCCGAACCTCTCGCATGTATACCCTCTGATGGCTGGGGATATCAAGGATTTTGTTGTTATCATCTGGCCCGTGGTACATGCTGTAGATACCGGAGGCAATAAGGACGGCAGCAATACAGCCGGCTACGATTAAGATGACATAGAGAGAGAAGTTATCGCTGGAGTCGCGCTTCATCAGGGTGGATGTGTTGTGCATGATTGGAGCCATATTGCCGGTAGGATATCAGGTCTGGTAATGGATGCCAGTTAGCTAAGTGAAGCTTCAAGTAATGATTAGGTACTACCTAGTCAAGCATCGACATACAATAATTATAGGTTGCAATGCTTTAATAATGCCTCAAATAAAGGTAAATATGCCAGGTATAGCAAATTTAAAGAACGTGGGATGTGCGGAGTTAAGGAGTGTCGGATTGAGAATATAAGGATTGACTGATTGAGAGATTTCGAATGAAGCATTTTCCAGAGATGCGGTTCAGCTAGATATAGGGCAAGAAAGACCAAAATACTATAGACAAATCTCCCCTGAAAAATTCAGCTCATATTTCGATCCAAAGATATACCAGTTGAAATGAAACTATAGATTAAGGTACTATCCTAAATTGGAATAGCGTCTACTAGATCCGAGGCCTATGATATCATGATGCGAGCGGACCAACCAGCGCTCAGATTTTCAGTGTGGACTGTGCTTAAAGGCTCAACTTACAAACGCTGCTTTGATTTTCTCGCACTAGGGAGTCAATCGGCTTTCAGGGCTAGGACTAACCCATCCCTCTCTTTTTGTCTTGAACTCCAGTTTTATTCTCAAATTTATCGAGCACTGATAGTCTAATATTTAAAATTTATGATGATTATTTATCCACGAGATTTATAATTAACCTTTTACTGTGACTATGTAAATTAATAGCAGGTTATTTATTTAGTAGCGGACTGGATAGCTCACTGGTACATAACAAACTTTTCCTGCCTATGACTGAAGCATCTACTTAGTATTGACCTGAGCAAAGAATGGCCTACTACACTAAGCCCGAAATGTAGTGCACGGGCACCTGGGCAGGCCCGTGCAAGGATACATCAGAAGCCTATCTAATTTTAGCTCCATCCTTGGAAACCTCAGAGAAACTGACCTCGAACTACTAGATGGCACCATATCCATGGGTATCTATCTTACGGCACCAAGGTTAGCTACCTAAGTGAAGTGCACACCTTTCAAAAACCTTGCAATTGGCAAGTTTTTTTTTTACAACCAAGGCTAGTAAGAATCCTTTAACGTTAGGCTCAACACCACTAAGTCTCATTTAGTGTAGCGCTGTCAGTGTTACCTGCGGTATGGAACTACCATGATCCTTTGAGCTCTAATTTTACACCCCTATTAATTATAATTTATAGAGGTACTCCTTGGCTTCCCAATTTTTACAGGTGAGGAAATCAAAATACTTGAGGAAGAGAAGGTCTCCCTCACATTACAGTATCGAGATTCAGACAAGCTCAAATTTTCCGGAACCTTTACTCCACCTTCCAGTCGAGCTCGAGCTCCATTTAACTACGAGCATGGCGGTTCGGGAAAAAGCATAGAGATCAAAAGATCTTTTAAAGTACAAGCCCGTTGACAGCTGAGCCAGGGAGCGAGCCAAGTCATCCAGTCCACCTCTGTAAAATGTACAGAGATCAGGATACCAGAGTTTCCTGTTTACTATGTACATATGTAAGATCTTGAGAAAGTCGCGGTCTGTTAGCTGCTCGACAATAAGGGCCCCTCGGGGAATTGCTACAGCCACCGCAAGGTTAAAGTTTAGTCAGCAACCCACATCAAGTTTTGTTCCATTTGATACAATATTGGAAAAGGAAAAGGTACATATGGAGGCGTGCTAGCAAATCCGGGAATGGTGGAGAGATACATGTGGCTCTCAACTGAAACTGCACAGAAGTTGAAAGATGAACTTGACGCGCCCTACCCAGGTGCGGATATTGGTCTTTTGTATGACGATGAGGAACTTCAGGATAAGCTTTCACGCCGTATAGAGCCCATGTATTGGTAGTATGCAGGTTTCGATATGTCGAATACAGTCAGTCCCTTTGATTTTCGAGTATTATCTGCCGGATATTCGCTAGCTTAGTTACCGATGGCAATATTAGAATGTAGCACCGAAATTAATATCCAAAGGATAAAAATCGACGGGAACAGGACGCTGTCTCATGCCATCCGTATCACCTGGAAGGTCCAAATAGAAGCTGCGTTGGCTTTTTTTCCTACATTAGGAGAAGGCCGCGATTTGCAAAGCGTACATCCTTCCAATTCATAACTCTAAAATTAAGAAACCCCAAATCCCTTGTTTTTCGATGGCATTATTGAACTTCGTGAGATCAAGTATCCGTTAATTTTCTCGTCTTACATTCCAGTAGTTTCATTCTGACCGACATCGAAAAAGAGATCGTATTGAAAATTCTCAAACACTTGTATTATGAGTTTGCTAATTTGCTAGATATCCTCCCATAAATCGTGAGCTTCGTTAGGGATTCCAAATATCTCTGCAAGAAAGGCTGCTAAGAAAACACTCAATTCTCAAAACTCTTTAGCTTGAGATATATCGTGACCACTAAAGAATTCGTAGTAATACGGATCAGTATATTGACGGGCGAGGCTTCTTGTCTGAGCTGGAGCTATTATTAAATCCAAGCTTCCTATGGTATGTTGTAAGGGTTACTGGATTTTACAGAGAAGACAAGGATGGGAACAAGAACTCGATAACATTTCAAGACTGATTCTTGAAAGAATCATGGGGGATCCGGGTACGGATCGGTTAAGTAGTTGTGGGTATTACATAAGGGTCACATGATTTCTAGATTATCAACTCCGTGACAACTATTCCCCTTCCTAATGCCGAACGACTCGGTCGGCTAGGTTCCTTTGAGTCCTTTGTTTTCCCGTGAGGCAAAGATTGGTTCGTCCTCACATCTTGGTCTGCGTACGAATCGCGACCGAGTTGTCCATGATTTGTGTTAGGAAGAAATTTTCAAGATGGGCGCATCTTGGATTCTGAAGAAGTGGGGTGTTTGATAGTGACAAAGAGATGGGGGTTTGCCTGATGGTTCAGAGGACAAAGCCGTCATGGTTTTAAGAAGAAGACAGTTCTCGTTTTTTCTTCCATAATTTTTCTTCTTCAACTTCCTTAACAGTTTTTTTCCTTCGAAATCGCATCGACTCTCATTCGATATGGCTGCTGCTGGTCCCGCTCCCGCTCCTATAGAGGCAACAGGTCGAGATTTCATATATTCGGCGGATTATATGGCCTGCGTCGCCTGCGTCGGAAGGGCCAAGAGTGCGTGGCGTGAAGGGCGTTTGCTTACTATCTCTTGTGTTTAGAGCAGAGTGGCTTCAAAGAAGTGCGATAGTTGTATCCAATCTCATGGTGTTTATCATTCAGTAAGTACGATTCAGCTTGATATCGGCATCATTCCTTTGCTGATTCACAGGTTCCGTTTGGCATTTTATATAAGTCCTGGGTGTTTCACGAGCTTTTGGACTAGGCTAAGAACGCTGATTCTGCGGTAGCGTTGCTAAGTACTGGTTTGTCAGGTAAATTTGGGACGCCTGGAGTGATTCCTCAAATATTTCCTTGGACTATAGCAGGAATAGCGGCGGCTCGATTAGCAACCGGTGCCCTTTCGGTAGCGTTCCGTTCTTTGGTTGAGAGTCATTGTAGTGATCATGCGCTTGATCTCCAAAAGGCTTTTAACACTAAGAACTTGCGAAATTACTTTGCGTCTCAGGAGGATAAGGCTCGTAGACTAGACATGTTCATTGGGTTGGGTAAACCCATACCCAACCCAACCCAACCCACAATGGGCTGGGTATGGGTCAGAAATTTTACCCAAAACCCATATGGGTTGGGTATGGGTTTGAAGTAAAACCCACACCCAGCCCAAAAACCCATCTTTTTGCCAAGACTTTTATTTCACGTGATATTTGTCACCTAGTTAGTACTAGATTGAGGCAAAAATTAGGCACTAAGGCACTAATTACCCTAATTTAGTTTAGGTTGAGGCGAAAATCAGGCATTAAGGCATCAAAAATACCCATATGGGACCCATACCCAACCCATACCCACGTGGGTTGGGTTGGGTATGGGTATGGGTTTACCTTACCCCTGATGGGTTGGGTATGGGTATGAATTTTGACCCATACCCAACCCATGCACATGTCTATCGTAGACAATTGTCTACAAAGGTTCTTCCTATCGTTTTTCCCGATACTCTATGTCGAATCGGTCACGGGGAGGCAGGGTTCCTTTCATGGAATACTGCGATCAAGGCCTTTTTCTATAACATTTCTCAAGAATTTGTTCTGCCTGATAGGGCTCCGGTTCCTCCAGTAAATGTTGAGATGGCAATTTTGAACATGGCCACAAAATATACCAATTCGATCTGATTCATTATCGCCATCCCCCCTCTGACGAGGGCGTCTCGACCGGAATTCGGGTTCCAATCGGTTCATCGTTTTTTGTTTTTTCGGAAGTTTTTGATAAGCTTGTCTGCGTTCAAATCGTCTTGGCTGACCCATTGATTGTACTCTGATGGCCAGCCCTTCCATTTGACTAGAAAGTATGTTTTAGACATGTGCATGGGTTGGGTATGGGTCAAAATTCATACCCATACCCAACCCATCAGGGGTAAGGTAAACCCATACCCATACCCAACCCAACCCACGTGGGTATGGGTTGGGTATGGGTCCCATATGGGTATTTTTGATGCCTTAATGCCTGATTTTCGCCTCACCCTAAACTAAATTAGGGTAATTAGTGCCTTAATGCCTAATTTTTGCCTCAATCTAGTACTAACTAGGTGACAAATATCACGTGAAATAAAAGTCTTGGCAAAAAGATGGGTTTATGGGCTGGGTGTGGGTTTTACTTCAAACCCATACCCAACCCATATGGGTTTTGGGTAAAATTTCTGACCCATACCCAGCCCATTGTGGGTTGGGTTGGGTTGGGTATGGGTTTACCCAACCTAATGAACATGTCTAGTATGTTTCGTTTTCAATGACAGATTCGTCCCAGATTTCTTCAATTTCCTAGTCTTCGTCGTCTTATAGATTTGGTAACGTGGTTGATTCGTCACCGTTTCGGGACCTCCAGGGTTCAAGTAGTTGAATTGGGAAGACGTTGTGAATACGATCGTATTTTATGGGAAGGCTTAAACGATACGCTTAGGTTCCGACTCGGGCAAGAATCTTGAATGGTCTAATGAATTTTGGACCTAGTTTGTTTGATGGTTGGTCGAGGCGTATGTTTTTGGTGGAGAGTTTTACTAGTTCGCCGACCCTGAATTCCATTGGTTTGTGTCGGTTGTTATAGTGTTTCGACATCGATTCATTTGCTTTTTGCCAGTTTTCTGCCGTTTTCTATTATAGTTCGTGGAGTTTTTTCACGCGATCCTATGCGCTTAGAGCCTCTTTGTCTTTATCATTTAAGCTGTCGCGGAATCGGAGTTCTGGGCGGTATCCTAGAAGGCATTCGGATAGAGACAGATTTGTTGTCGAATTGACAGTGTTATTATATGCGTATTCTGCTGTCATCAGAAGTTTTGGCTAAACGACCTGTTCGGTTCCGACAAAACATCGGAGGTAATATTCTAGTACTTGATTTATCTATTCGGTCTGTCCATTGGTTTATGGATGATATATAGTAGATAGACGTCGTTTCACTCTCGAATAGTAATAGATTCGGGACCAAAACTTGCTGGTGAAGATGCTTCCTCGGTCGGAAACGATCCTGTCTGGGACTCTAAATCGGAGTTCAACGTGCTTATAGAGGATTTCGGCGAAGTCTTCCGCTTTTATTGTGCTCGAAATAGGTACGAATAGGCTATATTTCGTGAACCTATTAATAATGACCAGAATCGCATCGACATGTTGGCCCTTCTATATTACAGGAGGGAGGCCTATGATGAAGTCTAGCGATATTTCTTTCCAAGGACGAGTTGGTTGTGGTAAGGGTTGAAATTTCCCGTATGGTTTGTGCCTTGGGGCCTTAGCTCCCTGATATACTACGCAAGTCGCTATATATTCGTCTACGTCTCGTTGGAGGTTCACCTAGTAGAATTTTCGCCTGATAAGCTCTTTAGTGCGGTTTTGACCAAAATGGCCTATATATGGATCGTCGTGGTGAAGTTCTATAACATACCTTCGTAAATTTCCTTACGGAACGAAAATTCGTTCCTTAAACCGTAAAAGGTTATTGCTATCAAGGGTCCAACCGATTTGGCCGGGTTTTCTACTAGAAAGGTTTTCGATACGCTGTCGAGTCTTAGGATCGTCACCCTGGACCTTGGCGATCAGGTTTTCAAACTCAAAGTTTGGGTTTTCGGAGAAAATGTCCTCCTCCCTCGCTGCTGCAACTAAGGCTTGGCGAGGAATGGTTTGGGAGCGACCTAGGTTTTCAAGGATAGCCGGATCTCTAAGATCCGGGTCCTCGTCGAATGGGTCCCGATACCTAGGCGAATCCTGGGTGGATAACATATCATTCGTGGGATCACTCTAGGGAGATTGTTTCCTAGAGTTTTGGTTACAGGAGCCCCTATATGGACGAATCCGTTCAGGATCTCCTTCCCTAATGTTTTGGTTATAGGAGGCCATACACGGACGAATCCGCTCAGGTTCTCCTTTCCCAATGTTTAGGTTATAGGAGGCCATACACGGACGAATCCGCTCAGGTTCTCCTTTCCCCGGGTTTATAGCGAGTTGGCCCCGGCAACCATCCGAAACGTAGTCGAATGGCGCACGACTCGACTGCGATGAGGCATTCCGCTGTGGAGATTTGCACTCGGTTTTGATTTTTTTCTTCTGAGAGAAGAGTTTTGGTAGCGTCAAGGGTTTCGTCGTGATCAGCGCTTCCGCCCTTGCGATCCTATTTCGAATTGGTCCTAGAACATCAGCGTTTCGAGAGGAACTCTCTTTATTTGGTTTTCGGGACAACCTATCTGCGGGGTTGGTTTTCCCTGACCTATGTTTTATGACAAAATCAAATGGTGTTAGAAAAAGACACTAACGGGCTTATCGACTATTTAATATGGTCTGCCGCATAAAGGATTAGAGGTTGGCGTGATCCGAGAGCACTTCGATAGTGAATCGGCTACCTTCTAAGTAGTGTCGCCAGTTTTTGAAAGATTGGACGATTATAAATAGCTCCTGATCTAGGGTTAAATAATTTAATTCTGGCCCCGTAAATTTTCTTGACTAAAAGGCCATAGGATGCTAAACATTTTTTGGGTCTAGCTGAGATAGTATCCTAGCTATACCAAGATTTGATGCATCGGTTTCTAGCCGAATCGGCCTCGAAGGATCGAAGTATCGGAGCAGAGGTGCGTTTTAGAAAGCTTGGATAAGCTCCCGAAAGGATTAGGTTTATTCTAGATTTAGTTCGACTTTTCCAGGTTTTTTTCTATTCACACTCCCTTTTAGCATATCTATTAGGGGTAGTGCGATAGATAAGTAATTTTGAATGAATCTCCTATAGAAGTTATAGAAACCCAGAAATACCTGGACGTCATGAAAACTGGTGGGAATCTCCCACGATTCGATGGCGGATATATGTTTTAGGTCTATTGAGATCCCGTTTTCGTCGATAACAAATCCTAGAAAGTCGACTTTGTTTTGGTAAAAGGTGTATTTCGAGGGTTTTGCGTAGAGTTGAGCCTCGCGTAGGCGCTAAAGGACCTGCGAAACATGCTCGGAATGTTCCTGACGTGTTTTCGAAAAGATGAGGATATTATCGAGGTATATAATATAAACAACATCAAGTAAACCTCTAAGTGCTATATAAATATAGTTTTAGAATATTGCAGGTGTATTGGTTAGCCTAAATAGCATAACCAGATACTTAAAATGTCCGTATCTAGTGCGAAATATAGTTTTCTACTTATCCCCCTCTCTAATATGGATCCTATAATAGGTGTCGCGAATATCAATTTTAGAGAAGAATTTGGATCCAGAAAGGCGATCCAGGATCTCTAAAATCAGGGGTAATGGATACCGATTCTTGACCGAAACACGGTTGAGCCCTTGGTAGTCAACATAGAGTCGTAGACCGCTATCCTTCTTTGGCATAAAAAGGATCGGGGCGCCAGCGGGACTTTTTAAAGGTCGCATCCGGCTAGTTCGTAGGCCTTCATCGATCTGTTCCCTAACTATCGCTAATTTAGTTTGTGAAAGCGGATATATTGGTCTATAAGGTGGGGTTGCGCCGTCGATTAGGTTAATAGCGTGATCAGTATCTTTGAGTGGTGGAAGAGAAGATGCTTTTTCGTGGTCGAAAACATCACGAAACGACTCGAATTCGGGAGGTAAGGTGTCTTCTCCCTATCTTTCATTGTCGTCTTCTAGGAGTCAAATGTCCTCGTTTATCCGGACTAGAGCGAAAACTTTCACTTTATTCCGGGTGTGTTTTATAAATTTATATAGGGAGTCTATCGAAATGGTTCTGTTTTGTACTTGAAACTACCATTTTCTATCCTAGGTGGAAATATGGATTCTTTCGTCTCGGTAGGTTATCATCGATAAGAGGATTAGGCTTCCCGAGAGATCAGCTTCTCGATCGATACCGACACAGAATTGTTTAAGATTCCTGGTCGTTCCGCGAGAGTCGGTGATGGTTATTAGGACCCTCTATACTCTAAATATTAGGACGTTAAGTTTTCCGACTATTTAGATGATAGGTGCTGTCATCGGCGCCTGGTTGAGTTTATAATTTTACGCGAATTAGATACTAACAAGATCTACTTCCGCGTAGGTATCAAGGTCTATGTGCGTTTTGATCTTGTTTTAGAGTCGAATCGGTATGAAAAACCGGTCGGTGGTTTTGACTTATGGTTTGTCGATCGATATTCTTGACTCGATCTTGGTTGCACCCTATACCCTAGTAGTGTTTTTTGGGCACACGGGGCTTTCATGGTTAGGACTAAAGCAGATTTTATATTCTTTCCGCTTCTTTTCCTTGTTCTAAACAAAAGTCCAGTCATCAGGGACTTGTGTCTTTTTTCCAAGGTATCCCTTCGGCTTAGAGTCTTTATTGTTTCTTTAGGGTTTCGAGTCCGAGTGCTGAGAGAAAGAAGGCTTCTTTGTCGATAAGGTGGAGCTGGTGTAGGTTTTTTGGAAAGGGCTTGAATTTGGTTTTTTGTTTCCGTCCTTTTCGGCTTCTTTGCGCTTTTCCCTATTCCTGTGTGCGATATTTGAGGCGCGTTTAAGGATTTACTAATATCGATTTGCCTCCGTAACTATAGCATCTCGAGTAGTAGGGAGATCGCCTGCTCTCGTAGAGATGATCGTATCTCGGAGTCCTTGGCTAAGTTTTGCGAAGAAGAAGAGGGCACGGTCTTCTTCGGGCTGTTTTCCGGCGAATTGTTCCAGGCTTAGAAGGTGTTGATGGAACTCGCTTAGACTTTGGTCTGGTTTCTGACGGGCGGATTCTAGTCGGATTCGGTATTTAATCAGGCCTGTCGCGAGGTTAGCGACCAACTGGTTGGTCCAATCTTTAAAGTAATCCTAAGACTTTTTTGCTTTATAGGCTTCTTCAGGGTTCAGTTCGTCGTAGTAGGTGTACTAGCGTTGACGACATTCTATATTTAGGTGTGTAATCCCAGCGTAAACCTTCCGTTTCGAATTCGGATAGTGTCTAGGGTTCGCTTTAAAGGATTGTTCGAGATCACGAATCCATTCTAACCGTTGTTGAAGACTGAAATCAAGGGTAAAATTATCGATATCTTTAAACTTGATCTCGCGGAGTCCCTTTGGTTCTCGCTCTGAATCTGATCCTGATTAGGATGAGGGTCGGTCGGCGGCCTTCCGGCGGCGCTTCGATAGGGTTTCGTATTCTTCGAGTTGTTGTTCGTACTCTCTGATACGCTTCTGGAGCATATACTTCATTTTTGTATAATAGGATATTTTTCGAAGTTCACGGATCTCTTCGTCAGACTCTGATTGGTCTAGAGAATTTTCTGAACCTGATACTGGCTCGGGATCGGGGGTGGTTGGTAGTGGATTCGCTCCCGATTGGGTGAAGGTTGCACTGATAGCAGGCTCAACCATGGTAGCGGGGACCGATGGGGAGTCTCGTGTGCTAGTGCTATGTTTTCGGGTTCGAGGTGCCATAATGTCTTCTTTGATCAATCGAGAGAAGAATCAGAATTGTAAGGGTTACTGGATTTTACAGAGAAGACAAGGATGGGAACAAGAACTCGATAACATTTCAAGACTGATTCTTGAAAGAATCATGGGGGATCCGGGTACGGATCGGTTAAGTAGTTGTGGGTATTACATAAGGGTCACATGATTTCCAGATTATCAACTCCGTGACATATGTAATATTAGTATTCTTATACTCGAAGGTAGAACCCTTCGTAGCAACGATTTTCCAGCTTAAAACCACCTAGGCAAATAGAAAATTACAAAAGCGGGTGGAGAATCTAGATCTATGTTAGCCTGAATCTCATTTCGCTGAATTAAGGTCTTCACCTCGAGAGGTGGCCCACCATTTCCCGTATTTCCCTCTAATAGAGATGTTATGATGGTAGTTATAGTTCCACCCGAAGAGAATCTAACTATACCTGTGAAGGGCTAAAGCTAATCTTAGATTCAGAACTAGCTAGGTCACAAACTGTGTACAAAATCCTTAAGGGATGTAAAAGGGTCGGCGTGGGGTCGAGGACGAAGGGCCTTCGAGTCACGTGATCTTACTGCAGTAAAAGTGGATAATAGGCACCGAGATCCATATGGCGGGCATCAGCCCGTTACAGTTTGTGATGCTTGACTTTTTTTTGATGGAGCATTTGAGTGTTCTAAAAATGGGGAGAGACTTTTGTGAGGGGTAGCGTGTTGCGTTTTATTGGGGTGGTTGAGTCAGGCCGCTGGCTCTCATATAAGCAATGCTTAGAGAGCAAATCAGGGTGCTTAGATCAGGCTTACTGAGCAGATCAGAGGGATCGGAGAGTCGCTCAGAGTAGTCACTAGAGGTCGGCACGGTTTTACGGATATCCGTATCCGTAACCGTAACCGTAGAATTTCTACGGTTACGGATACGAATAAAATCTCTACGGTTACGGTTACGAATAAATGCCCTCTATCCGTACGGATATCCGTAATATCCGTAGCTTATATCACGTGTCTAGAACCACATGCAGTTCTAATATATATTTCCAAGTCTATAGAGTTATAAATCTCATGTAATTCTCAAGTAAAAGAAATTTCAATTAGGAATCAATATTATATACATCTCTTAACAAAACTAACTCTCTCATGGTCTTACTGTTCAGAGATTGTCGACGAACACCCAGGATATCCCTTACAGAACTGAAAAGTCTTTCAACTGAAACCTCAGCTGCTGGAATACCAAGGTAGTCCCTTGCAACTGCTGCCATCCTGGGGTATTGATCCTTATGAGCGTTCCACCATGAAAGCAGCCACTTAGAGTCATCTTGGTCTTCTATTAATCCTTCTACTTGAATAGGAGGCTCATCAAAATAGCGATCAATATCAGAAGCCCGAGATACTTCTTGAGAATGTACTTTTTGTAGAAGACGAGCTCTCATACCTGGTCGAGCAGGAGGATCCATAGTTCTAGAAGTAGAACTAGAGATGGAGGTAGCCAAAGGGGGATATTTCTTATGAAGAAAGACCTTAATGCTCTGAATGATTCCTTGGATAACCCCATCTTCAAGCTCTTGTTCTAAAAGAGCAAATTTGACACGTGGATCAAGAGCAAGAGCTATATAATAGATATCTTGCATATCCATAAGATCATAGTATTTCCTATACTTTTGCATTCCAACCAAGACAGCAGAAGAGATATCAGGACTAAGCCCTGTAAAGTCGCCTTCAAAAGAAGCTGCTTCTATAAGGAGGTCATGCAATTCATAGTAAATAGGAATTACTAGACTTATATGAGGTTGCCGCTGAGAGATAAGTTGGGTAAACTCATAGAATCTTGAAAGAACCATGGCAAGATCACGAAGATTAGACAAATTGTAACGGCGTGGGTTGCAAGAAGGCTGAGAGAGGCAATGGACTCTCTACATAAGCTGGCTGAACCAGCTGCCAGGGAAGCAGGGGTTCCCCGGATAAGCTAGTTAGAGATTCGCCACTTCCTGATGTATTTAACTCTCTGAGGTCTTTGGACTCTTGAAGGAGTTCAAGAGTTGTTCTTGTCCCCAATTTACCCTAGTGGAATCGAGCCCTATGGGATACCACACCCACACCTCCGTCCTCTGGTTAGACATGTTCATTGGGTTGGGTAAACCCATACCCAACCCAACCCAACCCACAATGGGCTGGGTATGGGTCAGAAATTTTACCCAAAACCCATATGGGTTGGGTATGGGTTTGAAGTAAAACCCACACCCAGCCCATAAACCCATCTTTTTGCCAAGACTTTTATTTCACGTGATATTTGTCACCTAGTTAGTACTAGATTGAGGCAAAAATTAGGCACTAAGACACTAATTACCCTAATTTAGTTTAGGTTGAGGCGAAAATCAGGCATTAAGGCATCAAAAATACCCATATGGGACCCATACCCAACCCATACCCACGTGGGTTGGGTTGGGTATGGGTATGGGTTTACCTTACCCCTGATGGGTTGGGTATGGGTATGAATTTTGACCCATACCCAACCCATGCACATGTCTACCTCTGGTAGCCTTCTCATATTAGTTCTTCTCTTGTTTACGGTAGCCCAACCGCATTGGACTCAAACCCTTACAATTTCCTTCGGCATTTAGCTTAGCTGGCTAGCTAAATTGACTAGATCTTATAGGCGTCGGGTGGCGGTCGTTCCCTTTAGACCATCTAGTATGTTATTCAGTTTATCCTAGAGTGCTAGAGTTCTTATAGCGCCATTAATGTCTTTAAAGGCGTTTTTGATTTCCGCGTCCGTCCATTCATGTTCTTCTTCCCTTATAAGGCATTCTATTAGGGAGTCGGCTAGTTTTAGTGTCCATTTTATATAGACTCCGCGCTAGATGAGTATATGGTATACTAGTCGGAGGGTGTTTCGTTCGAGTTTCGTAAAGTCCTCCTCGGTCTAGTTCTTGAAGTCTGCTTAGAAGTCGGCCCAGAGTCCGTAGTCTATAACTCCCGTGGTTATATAGTATATAAATCATATGGTTATATATTCCTCACGCTGATCCTAGTTATATTCCTATAGGTCAAAACCATTTCTATGGTAGAATCTGATTTTCTCCTCTTATATCATATTATCCTATGATTTATACGCCTCTCGGTAGGTCTAGTCCCTATCTATATGTTCATTAGGGTACCCTTGGCCTCTGCTCTGGTTAAAAGCGGGTGTAGGGCTAGTATGTTCTATATATAATCCGGGCATACTTGCTCATATATAGCTACCCCAAGTATATAGTCTATACAACGGTGTTCCATCCATAATGATGGTGAATAGATCTAAACTTTCGTCGTCGTCTCGTAGGGTCAGGTCTTCTTCTATAATTAGGGAATGGCGTGCGAATTGCCCTCGGTTGTTACACTTTCGTTCATAGTATATAGATTTGATTGACTATGGTGTCTGGTATACTAGTGGTGCTATATAGCTCCTATAGGTGATGCTAGGGGGAGATTGGCTATATTCCCGCGTGGATCCGTGGAGGAGTCGGACAAGTCACAAGTGGAGAAGTTGAACAAGTCACCAGTGGGTTCTGGTGTCCCATAATTCAGAGAGGGGAAGATTTTTAGGGGTTTTTGAGTATCACCAGTTTTTCTAATACGAAAAGGAAAAATTTTAGTCGAATGTCCTTCGAAAAGTAGTCGTAAAGGAGGTGTTAAAAGGTAGAAACTAGGGTGTAGTTGTCACGGGGCGGGCAGGTGAATAGAATTATACTAGAACTGGACAGACAGTATTGCATTGACTGACAGGCTAAGACGAAGACGTAGCTTGAAGAGCTACATTCAGACAAGGTTCTGAGTTTATATGAGGTTGCGGGTCATGTGGCCCGCACTATCTAATCAATCAGTAGTCGTCTGAGCTGGCACCGTGACAGTATCCCCCTCCTTAGAGCCGAGCTCCGTAGAGGCGTAGACAGGACCTGGCTTAGACGGGTAGCGGAGGTGGAAGTTCTTTACTAACTATCCACAATTTTCTAGGTGAGCAGCAGGCTCTTTAGTTGGGTCATTGTAACCAGTCCACTTAACCATGTATTTTAGATGTGGTGTTCCCCGGCGACCATGTTTCTCCTAGCGGGAGTCTAGGATCTCCTCTACCTCCTACTCGTCGATTCCGTCGACTTCGATAGGTGGGGCAGGTTCTTGTTGCTGCGCGGGAAGCGGGTTGTCGTCGGCAGGGCGTAATAAGGAGACGTTAAATACTAGGTGGATCATCATTCCAGGGGGAAGCTGTAAATGGTAGGCGTACGGGCTTAGAACTTCGGTGATTTCGAAGGGGCCTAAGTTCTTCTAGTCTAATTTCTTCTGGGGGCGACGGGTCTTGATGTTCTAGGCGTCTAACCAGACTTTCTGTCCTTTAGTGAACGTTCGGGCAGGCTGGCGGTGATGGTTGGCGAATTCTTCGTGGCGAGCTTAGGCGGCCAGGATCTAGGCTTGTATAAAGTTCGTGATCTCCTCTATATGAGCCGCGAACCTCTCTATATCGCGGGCGGCGGGGTGATTACTTAGGTGGACAGGCTCGAATCCAACGACTAGGTATTAGCCGTAATTAGCAAAGAACGGGGTGACGCCAGTCGACTCGCTTTATATAGAGTTAGAGGCGAATTCGGCTAGCGGAAGCCAGTTAGCCTAGTTGTCCTATAGGTAGTTTGTATAGGCTCGGAGGTACTGTTCCAGGATAGTATTGGCTCGCTCGGTCTGTCCATCTATTTCCGGGTGAAAGGTAGTGGATAGCAGGCTCTTAGTCTTTAGGCGGGTCGTTAGGTGTTTCTAGAACTGGCTTATAAACTAGGGGCCTCTATCAGATATAATTATACGAGGGAGTCTATATAGCTTCTAGACATGTTTCAAGAACAGGTAGGCGAGGTCTTTAGTGTTATAGGTCCCGTGGCAGGCCAGGAAGTGTTTCATTTTAGTTAAGC